CCCCAAAGCCATATCCCAAGACCACCCAGAACAAGCTTCTTTAAAGAAGAGCTTGAACAAGGCAGGGCATCTCTGCACCCTTCTGCTCACAGCTCAAAGCTGGAGCAGCGTCAGCCACCTCCATGACCTGCAGGGTTTGTGTGGGGCATCAAGGTGCTTCAGAGCATCCTGCCCAGCTCTGGCTGCGCTGGCCAGCAGCAGCGTGGAGCCTCAGTGCTTGACACCCCCGGGCTTGGGTGGCCCAGTCCAGCTCGGTGAAAGCCTGGAGGTGCTCCCCATCCCCTTGTGCAGAGATGGCAGCTCAGGCTCCATCCTGCCCTCCACCCACCCTCCGCAGGGGCTGGATGAAGACGTTTTGTGGGCCTCGCCCTGAGGATGACAGCAAGCCCCCTCCCCAAGCCAACTTGGCAGAAGAAAAGAAACAGCCAAGAGAAGCCTGTGCTGGGGAGATTAAACACAGCTCCCGAGCAGCCCTGCCATGCTGGGGCGCAGGCGCTGCCGGCACCGGTCACCATCACCATGAGAAAGCCCCACGCCTGCCTGCGAGCCTGGCGCCTCCCCAGCGCTGGCCCGGCCGCCAAAGGGGGATGATGGACGCACAATAGGCAGGAGCAGAGGTCAAGTCTTTTTCTCTCCTCGCCCAGCCTTTCTTGTTTGCGGTGTTTCCATATGTAAAGCACGCCTTGCTCCCGCTCCCCGGCCCTGCGGTAATGAGGCCAGGGCCTGCTGGAAGCCGTCTCCCCGTATTATTGTGCTGCCTTCTTCTTTTGAGCTCCCAGCATGTTAATTAGAGAGCGAGGAGAAAGGGAGAGGCTTCTAATTAAGCATCAAGGAAGCTCAGGGGCTGGTGTATGGGGGTGACTTTCTCTCCCAGCTTGGGAGCCCCCCGCTCGTGGCTGCAGGGACATGGGAGGAGCTGGGTGTCTTGATCCTCGCTGCTGGGGTGCTCCCACATCCCTGTCCCCATCAGGATGCGGATGCCCATCTAGAAAGTCCAGCACAGCCCCGACTGTTTCCTAGTGAGATGGCCTCCCAATGCAGGGGGAAGTGGTGTGCTCTGTGCTGTGCACGGTGTGGGTACTGATGCTGCAGGGCCTTCACAGCTTCTCGTGCCCACTGACAGGACAAAGTAGGGCATCCTGCCCATGGGTTGGTGCAGCAGCATCACCTGCGAGACAAAATCTGCTACCCATTTACTGCCTCATTGCTGATTATTAAAGGTCCGAAAGCCCAGACAGTTGTTTTTCCCCCGACTGTGGAGCTCCCCTGTTGCTTGTAGGTGTTCCCATGCCTACCTCCACCATCTGCTGTTTGTCCCCTAGCTGTAGAGACTCTCCTTCCACCATGTGCTGCTCCTGCCTGGCCAGGACTGAGCTCTTTAGACTCATCCTGAGCCCTCCCTGGGGGCCCTGCAGGTGTGGATGGGGGAGTACTAGGCATCTCCAGGTCTTGGTGGCTGACATGCTGTTTCAGAGTGTGTGTCAGGAGTGGTCCAGGTGATGGAGAGCCGTATCAGAGGCAGGGCAGAGGATGGAATTGCTTCCCTATGTCTTGCCCTTGATTCCTTCAGCTGCTCCCAGCCAGTGCCCTAAAAAAGGGAGATCCTGCAATTTTCCACTGCCACACCAAATTTATTTCTGGAAAAGAAAGCAAATGTTCCCCCTGTGTTTTGTGAGGATGCTCTCCTCCTCCCCCAGCGATGGCAGCAGATTTCCAGTCACTGCCAGTCAGAAGTGGTTGGAGCTGTTTGGGGATCTTCCTTGACAGCCTTCTGTTGGGCTATTAGCCTTGATGTGCGAGGAGCAGTATGTCTCCCGTCCCATGAGCCTCCCTCTACAGTCCTGGGTGCCCTTGTGAGGCTGTTTACAGGCTGAGGGCTGGGGGTGCTCTGCTCCTGACAGTTTCTGTGCCAAACTCGGTCCTGGCGCTGGTTGCTGGATCTGGGCTGTGGGGCTGCCTTGCCCTGGGTGTCATGATCCTGCATCCAGGGCAGGGTTGTGCTCAGGGTTTCATGTCTGGGAGAAACAGCTCGGCTTCCACTTGAGCAGGTTTATGAACAAATTGATTGGAAGCTCTTCCAGCTGGCTGGGACTGTCACACACTAGCTACACCCTGGTCCCTAGCAGCAGCATCAGGAGGGTGCTGCTGGGGGGGAATGGACAGCACAGAGAGATGTTCTGCACTCCTGCAAGGTCTGGGTGGGGGGATGCTCTGGTGAGCCAGGTCAGAGGTTCTTTCTTTTCCATCTGTGCTCACCACAGAGGAGTGGTGGCCGGTTACTGGCTGCAGCTCTGCGCTTGTCTGGTCATCACCCATCCTGAAGGCTCCCCATCCTAAAAAGGATGGAAACAATGACAAGAGCTGAAAGATTTGGAAAAGGAAACAGCTTAGGAAAAGGGCAAGGAGCAGGACAGGGCCAGAAGGTATCACAGCAGGCCCAAACTTTTCAGAGGCTGCTCCAGAGTTACCTGTTAGTCAGCAGCGGGGAGCTGGGCTGAGCTTCCTATGGGGAAATGTCAGCTCCAAGTGTCTTGCTGAGAAGGATGTTACTCTTGTGCCATTGCTCATAGGACATCCCGTGGTTCCAGTTTAGGACAGCTGGGGTTGAGCACTGTGCAAACCTGAAGGAGGGACTCCAGAACATGTTAGCCTCGGAAGGGGCAAGGATAAGAGCTACCAGTGGGATCTAACTCAGCATCTCCCTTTGTGGGTACACAATGGGGTTAGCTGGGCTCCCATAAACCTTCCCTCCTGCCCGCAGGGAGAGGCTGCTGGCTACAGGCCCATTGCGCAGCAGGTCCTTGGGCTGAGAGGAGGTTTTATGGCTGCGTTATGCACTCCGGGCCCTGTCTGCCACGTCTGTAACTGCAGCGGCACCAGTGGGAATACATCTGCTAAAGGCATCATGTTCCTTTGCTGCGACACTCTGCTGCACAGTGTAGCCCACGGGCAGGAGCCCCTGCTAAAGACATTACTGCCTGCAGAGATAGTGCATGGCCCTGCCCTGCACTGCCACCAGCAGAGGTGCTTTACCAGAAATCCAGGCATGGAGCATGGTGCTGCTGGCAGCGAGATGTCCTCCAGCTCTGCAGAGGGCTTGGACCACCTTGCTCCCACAGAGTGGAGCCTGCCCAGTGTGCAGTGAGGGCGAAACCCTGCCAGAGCAGGATGGAGGCATGTAGGTACATTGCTGGGTGAGGAGCGGGGCACTGATGAGGCTGCCTCTGTGATGGGGTGGGCACAGTGTGGGGCAGCTGGCACTGGCAGAGCCTGCCCGCTTGGCATGTGGTGGGGTTGGGAAGAGGTGAGGTGAATTGGGAACACGAGTTTCGTGCAAGCCTTTGACTTCTTGTGTCCTGTCTGCAGTGGGAAGAGGTGAGTGGGTATGACGAGAACATGAACACAATTCGCACCTACCAGGTGTGCAACGTCTTTGAATCCAGCCAAAACAACTGGCTCCGTACCAAGTACATCCGGAGGCGAGGAGCGCACCGCATCCACGTGGAGATGAAATTTTCTGTTCGGGACTGCAGCAGCATCCCTAATGTCCCAGGCTCCTGTAAGGAGACTTTTAACCTCTACTATTTTGAGTCGGACTTTGACTCAGCCACCAAGACTTTTCCTAACTGGATGGAGAATCCTTGGATGAAAGTGGACACAATTGCTGCTGACGAGAGCTTCTCGCAGGTGGACCTAGGTGGACGAGTGATGAAGATTAACACCGAGGTGCGCAGTTTTGGGCCTGTCTCCAAGAATGGTTTCTACCTGGCCTTCCAGGACTACGGGGGCTGCATGTCCTTGATTGCCGTCCGTGTCTTCTACCGCAAGTGTCCTCGTGTGATCCAGAATGGGGCCGTCTTCCAGGAAACCCTCTCAGGAGCGGAGAGCACCTCGCTGGTGGCAGCCCGGGGGACGTGCATTGCCAATGCGGAGGAGGTTGATGTGCCCATCAAGCTGTACTGCAATGGGGATGGCGAGTGGCTGGTGCCCATCGGCCGCTGCATGTGCCGGGCAGGCTACGAGTCAGTGGAAAATGGGACTGTCTGCAGAGGTAACTGCTGGCTTCGGTCTCACACTGTGCAGCGCCTTGAGGCTGCTGGCTGTGTCCATGGGGCAGTTGGGATTTGCAGCAGGGATGTGTATGAACTGCCTGGGAGCAACCTCCTTTGGCAGGGGTGGGAGAGGAGCATGTGGGGACATGGGAGGGGAGCGTGTGTATGGACACTGATTCCTCCAGCTCCTCAGTTTGGGCGCTGGACCTGTCCATCCATTGCAGAGGCTCTGTGTTAACCTTTGAGTCCTCAGAGCCAGTGGGTCCAGAGTGCTCTCTGGGTCTTGGAAGGACATGTGTGTGTGTGTAGCTGAGGCGTGTGCCACTAATCTGCAGTCACCTCTCAAAATACTTCAACTGTTTTCACTTCAGTTTGTGCCCTGGGCATTGCCATGACCTGAAACGCTTTTGGGATGAGGGGAGCAGGAGTGCTGGCAGCCAAAGGTGATGTCCTGGGAGGGAGCAAGTTGTCTCCAGCATTTTTTGCATGGTGAGGTGCAAATGGTCCAGGGTGGGACATGATCACAGATTGTTCAGGGCCAGGCTCGGTGGTGCCCAGGTGAAGAGGTGAGCTCCTGCAGCCATCAGAGGCCTCCTGCCCTGTAGATGTGCTCCTGCCATTTGCAGAGATGTGTTCAAAGCAGACTCTGGGAGTGCCTGCTCAGCTCAGTTGAGTACTCTGGAGCCAGTGTGGTCCTGGGTGAGCAAGAGGTTCTGCATCACTCTTCCTGAAAGCATCATGCCCACACTCATCTCTCTGTTCCTCCCATGTCACGTATTGGCTCGGGGAGGTTTAGAAAGGAGCTGCTGGGGCTGTTGGGGAGAGGTGGGGACCTGAGAGCTGCATGTTTAATGGGCACATGCTGCTGTACCATGCACAGAGGAAACCACAGTGTTTGGCAAATGGCTGAATATCAAAATCCCGTTACAGTTTTGATAGCATCAGCACACTCTGAGCAGAGCTGAGGTTTCTCTGAGATCAATTATAGATATATCAGTGGGCACTGCAGAGCACAAGGAAGAAGCTGCATCTCTCCTCTTCGTGCTGTGGCAAAGGGGTGGCTGGGTCACACCGAGCGGGCATGGGGAAGGTGCTCATGGAGGGGGACGGACAGTCTCCAGCCATTCTCATTTGGGACTGTAGGTTGGGTTGTCCCCTTGGAGAGGGCACCACGTCTCCTGCTGGTGGCCGGGCTGCTCATGCATCAAGCTACAGCTCCTGATGTGCTGTGGGTATCATTTGATGTTCGTGATTTGAGCTGCTCCTCACTGGGCCACTGAACATCTCTTCCCACCAAGCTCAGAGTGATAGTGTCCTCCAGCTGTAGTAGGGATGGGGTGGGGATGGGGACAGCAAGGAGGTACTGCGGCAGCGCAGTGTGGAAAGGGAGCCTGGCTAATCCCAGCCTTGAAGGGACGATGGGTGTTTTACAACACGCAAGTGAGCATTCATAACAACACCAGAAAGCCAAAATGATTCATGTCAGCTTTTCCATCTCAGCTGACTTTTTCCCCCTGTGTGTACCCAGCCCTGCACTTTGCTCTGATGCAGCTTCCGTCTCCTGATACTCCCTGCTCCCACTGCCAGCACAGCCAAGGGGTGATCCTTTCACATCCCCATGGCTCCCAGGTCTCCTTATGCACGCTCTGGCCTAGCAGAGTGGGCAGGAGCCAGGGGCCCGCGGTGGAGGGAGCAGGCAGGAGGGAGAAGCTGGGTCTCCTCCTTGCCTGGCAGCAGCAGGATTTTGGGAGGTCCACTACCTCGGCAGCTGTTTCTCCAGCCGGTGCTGGCGTGCGCCGGCCCTGCGCTCCCCAGCAGCATCAATCATGTGGTGGCCGGCAGCCTGATGTCTCTGTGGGGCGGCTGGCTCTGGGGCTGCCTCTTCCCTTTCCTTTTCCCCTTCCCTATCTCCCTTTCCCCCTTTCCTCGTTTTCTTCCCCTTCCCTTTTCCCTTCCCTTTCTTTTTCCCTCCTGCATGGGGCTGGATGGGACCCCAGGGTTGTGCCAGACTGGGACACATCCTCTGCTTTCCCCCAGAAGAAGAGTGAGGACTGGGAGGAGAGTGCTGTGGAGTTGGCAGGACAGCCACAGCACCCTTATCCTTTCCCAGCACCTCCAGCGAGCCCCACAGAGGACTGGGAAGGGGGCTGGTCACCACAGCTTGGTCAAGCAGAGGAAGGGCTCTCCTCGCCAGCTCAACTCAGGAGGGACCTGTGGGGTGCATCCCTGTCCACCTCCCGTTGTGTCCTTGCTGCTGGTCCCTGCAGAGGTAGGGTACGAGCCGCCTGGTTTGGGGGGCTCACTTGTACATGTAGCTGGCAGGTTTTCTCATGTTTCAAGGGGAGGGAGGGAATCTGGGCCCCTTTCCAGAAGCAAAACAAAAGCAAATCTGAGCTGGCTTTCGGGGCGAAGTGCTCTCACACGGCTCGGTTGCCCAAGCAGGACGTGGTGGGGAGCGTGTGGTGCATGGCTCCCTGGTCCTGCCCTGCCAACGGCTCCTGGTGGAAAGGGGCATCCCAAGCAGTGGACAGCCCCCTGGTGCAGCTGCACGGCGCTCAGAGGAGTTGCTCATTTTCTCCACTGGGCTTTCCATCTGGCCAAGGCAGTGCAGGCCTGCTCGCAGCAGTGCACACAAGGGATATTTATGGAGGAAGTTCATGCGTCTAACAGCTTAAGCTCTCCTAAGCTTGCAGCCCCAGCACAAAAGGATTTGGGAGCAGTTAACAATTCTGTGTGGTTAAGAGATTTTCATTTTGCTGGGCCTTGCTGGCCGGTCCTGCAGGGCCCTGGCTGTTCTCTCCTCTTCGCTC